ATAGAGTCATGCACATACTTGGGGATGTGTTCAGCCATTCTAATTCGCAGCGATCGGTTCGTTCTACCAAAGTATGCTTCGTTGCAGCTGCAACAGAAGGTGTAGATGCAATGAGAGGTAGACTCGACTGGACGACGATCTTTGAATGGGGGGAGGGGGAGGCTCTGTGTGATCGGATAGAGTCTTAATACGACAGCGTAGTAGGTTCTTTGTAACGCGTTTTTGATACGCTGTGTGATAAGCTGCATTATTGACTCTCCTTTGTATGGCAACGAGATATGGATATTCTTTTTTGGCACTCGAAAGAAGAAAATACTAGAAATAGAAAAAAATCTCATACTCAGACAAGTTTGCCTGAGTTATAATTTATTTTCCCGCTGTCAAAACTCACCAGAAATAAAAACATATGTTAAGGGTAATCTAAGCGTTCCACCTTGTAACATCCTCACTACCTAAGCACACACACAAACAAAACCAGTGTGTTGGTCGACCTCAACGAGTTTGCTTTCTGCCGGGGTTTTTTGTTAATCAGTTTAGATAGAAGTGTACGGTCCGACGATTAGGTGAACACAATCGTAATGTGGTAGTTCCACCGGTTCTACCGGCTGGCGACTGGACGCGTTCGAACAGTTCTGTGCGAAATTGATGTTGGGGACATATCATTTAGTTCGTGTTAGATATGTCATTTTCATCCTCGTGCTCGTGTCAAGGGTTGAACGGAATTTATACCGCGCGTAATTTCGTTAGAAGCGATCAACCGCGAAACGAATTCTGTGAAACGGGTACGCGGGTGTGTGTGTGTGTGTGTGTGGTAACTTAGCCAGTCACTGTGGAATTATACTTATTTGTTTTTCATATGTGGGCTAACCCACCACATACTGGTGTCCGATGAGCTGGCTGCGACTGACAGACTGGCGCAAACAAACCGATGCTCATCTTATCACGCGAATGATACACATGTCAAACGGAAAATCACTCAGTCGTATGATTAGCTGTTCCCGATGTTGTCATCACTTCGAACACTCTCTCCCCAGCCCCCCCCCCCGCNTTCTCTCTCTTCAAGAATCACTCCAAGACTGTGACAAATTCTGCAGCACTTTTTTGCATTACCCGATTGCTTCACGCCGAAAAGACACAAGCCAACAAATAAACATCGATGACGGTTGCCCCAGTTATCAATAAAATCTTCACTATCATTGTCATTGTATAATCATATTATGCTCTTCTTATTGCATATATGCTGAGACGACCGTTGATAACCCGCTCAAAGATTTCTGAAATCGATCACTTAACATCAAAATAGATTTTTCGAAAGAATGAAGTGTGTACATTGATGCTATGCTCGAAGCTGAACTCATTCCTCTTAGCTTCATACATGGGCATATGCCCCGGATATGTGATTGACACTCTTTGTTGTTCTATAAGTCTGTAATGGTAACACCTGTTTCATTTGAACCACTGTGCATACATGATTGTCCTGATCAACAGACTAACGACAATGTTTTTGCGGTGTTTTATTCCCACATGAGGAGAGAACACCTCTCTTTCTCTCTATTTGCCTTTCCAAAAGTAGTTGGCATGGTTACTGGGTCGGGCAAGTTGGGCTTTTTCCCCACTAAAACCTTCTGTTTTCGGTTGTGACTATTCACGAGTCTGCCTTCAGGCATTTGCAGACCTCATCATGAAATCCATTGTATTCCATATTTGCATCCATGTGTCGTCTCCCTGCGCCCCTGGTTTTCCATCTATAACCGCGCCTCCTTGCGTGACATCGAGCGAGTAAGCAAGCGAGTGCCGACAGGTGGGCGGTCACTCGACCTGAACTGAGTGACAGACATTTTCACGTACTTGGATGATCGTCTTGCTACAAAACAGAAAACAAACAATAGGTCCGGTTACCGGGGCACCCGGAATAAAAACGGACAGGCTTTGGCGTTTTGCGGTACGCTGTATCAAAACATCCCAACAAAAATTAACTGACGTCTTCAGTTAAATAGTGCTTACCCGGAAAACGTGGGGATTAAACGTCAGCTGGAAAAGGGAACACAACTTTTGAATTTTGCAAAAGGCCTCCATCTCTTCAGAGTGATCATGGTGTGAATTAGCCTTAATTGAAATCATGGGGAGAATTCATCGTGTCTAGAGTAAATGAAGCGGGAACTGAAAAGTTGGGGAGCCCTGTATTGCTGTTGCGTCCTGGTTGGGTTTCATCTGCGGTAATACGAATCCACCTAACAGACTGGGGATCGAACCCGGGATCCCACAGGCAGAACGCAAGCATGCTACTCACTTGACCACCGAGCAGCTTGATCAGCTGCCGATTTTTATTTTACATNATTTAAACGGTACAGCAATTCAGTTTAGTTCTTACAACCATTAACCATGCACTTTCCTGCACCGGTTTTGGTTACTGTCTTTTGGTTGCCCATTTGGATAAAATGAATGAAGATTAGAATGTTGACAACAAATTCAAGCGGAAGATAGTGCATTTATATAGACTGAAGTTACAAAAATAATGAGTAAATGCATGAGCGCAACTGTTCGCGACACTCAGCTATATCCTGAGGTCCCCATCCAGGGAGTCTAACGGGACCTATGTGACCTAGTCTCGTGGTTAGGGTTTTCATACCCTCATGCTTGGTCTTAGTTTGACCGCCCCTGATCTTTTTTCAATCGCTGCTCACCTCGGCACATATCGCTCGCTGTGGAAACCTATCTGGTAATATACCCATCACATGTCCCAGCTAGCGTACTCTATGGAGGNGATTACCTAAAACCCTGTGCCCAATCTCAGCATTGCTCATCCGGTCACTCCACCAGACTCGTTCAATGCTACGTAGACAGCGGTGTTTGAACACTGACGATCTATGTTTATCCTGTTCCCATAATGGCCAATTCTCTGCCCCGCAAATCAGAACTGTCCAAACTGCTGCAACATATACTCGACCTTTCCCGCACAGTCGGGTGTCGCGACGGCACCACAAATGTCTCAAGTTGGCAAATGCCAATGGTGCCTTTTGTATGCGCGCCGACACTTCATCTGTGATGCGTCCGCCAGGTGAGATATAGCTGCCTAGATAGCAAAATTTGTCTGCTTTCTCTACTACTTCCCCGGTCAGGCTCAGGTTGGGGACTGGACCAACCCAATCATGGAGAAACATTTTACACTTTGAAGGTGCAAAACGCATACCGAACATGACTACACTAACATGCAAACTATCCAGAAAAGCTTACAACTTACCAGGATCTTCACTTAGTAGCACAATATCCTTTGCATTCTATTAATCCGACAGTCTGTCACTAAGAATTTGAATAGAAACAGAGAGAGAGGGAAGCCTTGTTGAACATCACTTTCTGTAGTAAACTGGGATGAAAAAGTGCCGTAAGCTCGGACTCGGCCTCGGGACAGCACAACCCATTTTTGCGAGCTTCTTGCGGGCCTCGCACTTCGCTCATCTCAACACTAGTCTCCCAGGGGTTATGACTTGGTTGGAAACTTTCGTAACCTGGCTGCTTGTTGCAAAATCACCGAAACGCATGAAATACATGATTTCATTTACTTAGTTGATGCATGTATACTTGCAGTATAGCCAAAAGATACACAATAACATTGCCTACTAAAATCTAACCCTCAGTAAAAGCACATCTATCACCTTGTTCATCCTGTAAACGAGAGAGTAAGAGGGACAGATTTATCGGAATGCAGTTTCTTTGAAGAACACTGAGAAAGGGAGAAAGCACGGATTAGTGTTTTGGAGAGGTAACGGGCGAACAACGATTCTGTGGAGAAAAGATGCACACAAAACAATGCAATCAGCAAGCAGTTACGCATTCCAAACCAGACCAAGGAGGATCACACACACATACCGGTGTGAATATACACTGAAGATATACTAACCTGTGCCCGTTCGAACAAGCACCATTTCAATCATTTTGGATAGTGTGACTCCTGTGTTGGATAACTTAGTGCTTGTAGTTCTCGGACCCAATCGATGATGCAAATACTGTGTGCCAAACAAATACGGTAACGGTACAACAATCTTCACAAAAATAAAGAGGTTCATCAATTTGCTCCACGGCTCGATACTACTAGGTCACCCAGGCCAACGCAAGTGAATTTTCCTAGAGAAATCACAATCGGAGTCTTTGGTTAGCCAAAACCTGATCCAAAAGGTAGCGGGGTGGTGTGTGAAAACTACAGTTCACTGGGAGCCAGTGTTCAGTTCATCGGATCATGCGGCCATTAGACGGGGTCAAACTCCCAAGATGCCCAGTCGAGCCGGTGCTCATTACTTCGATCAGGAAGGTATGTGCGTGGTTCGCACGCCTATTATTGCTTGATCTAGACTCGATGCTTTTAACCAACTCCCCTGGATTAACCATCATTGGTTCACCAACCCGGTTATAGCCCCTGATGTTGGCTTTTTGTCCTCTCACTTTGTGTGAAAACACCTCCTCTATGGGAAGGCAGTGCTTTGGGCTTCCTCAGCAGAATTGGCTATTTGAGACGCTTGGTTCTATGGGAGTATTTCGTGAGGTGCAAGGTGAGAGTGATCAGCTGCAACCAGAGACACTAACTCTCGATCAAACTGAGGCTTTCGGAGGCGTTCACACTGTTTCTGATCACAACCTTGGATTGGTCAAACGGATGTACCAGGTAAAATATATCGTTCTACAAAAGTCCCACAGTGTTCCCGAGGCAGGTACAATACGGTCAACATAAAAAAATTAGATAAATTAAGATGATTTCTTGAGGTTAGATCTAGGATGAGTTAATTGGTATAGACAGTGAAAAATTGATTGACAGCAGCACCATGGTTACGGTGAAATGAATTATTTTTAATGTTCACTTTCTGGGACGACCATGACAGTTTTTACCCCAATTCACTTTACACGTTTTTGATCGCGGGCAAACTAATTACCACAACGAGGAACACCTATGGGATCTGAACGACCAGAACAACAACACCAATCATCAGAACTGCTCGTGATCACAAACTCAAGGCCCTTCGTGATGTTAAACACCTTCGCCCTGGACGATAAATGTCAGTTTGTTCATCAATAAACCCGTACGAATCGACAATTTAATTGTGGGAAATTGGAATCCCATATGCCCAAAAAGCAGTTTCTGATCGTGTGTGTGTGTATGTGTATGTGTGTGTGTGGAAAAACGGGCAGCGATTGCCACATTGAGCACACACTTGCTCACATCCTGTAAACAACATAAGTTAGAAAGTTAGAAGGATGAAAACAAATTTCTAATGGGTCGATGCACCAGGGGTGGAGAGGCGGAGAGTTACGCGGGAAACGAGGGCGAGGTGGGAGGGTGAATGGGAACATTTATTTTATGGTTTTTCCGGACTGTGTTTCCAGATGATGTTAAATTGCTCCGTGGATTTTGTGCAACGGATGCAAATCTGTCAGAACATATCAGTGAACAGTTAAGCGAAGGTGGAACAACATAGATGCTACTATGTCTTTCCGATGCATCCGATCAATTCATGAAATCACTGGCAAATAGTGTTTAGAACGTTCGTCTACACTGAGATTTCCAACCCTAAATTCTTCCAATTTTCGTCAGTTATTTGCTCCATTTTTGGTGAGCAATAAGCCTTGTTTTAAACTACTTTACCGATCTGTAATGCAGTCATTGTAGGAATTCTTTAAAGAAACGGGAAAATGAAACGATTTTGCTGAGAGGAGAAGCTTACAACGGATGTGAGTGGTTAAGTGAACTGCTCATGGAGCGTTTGGTCGTTGACTTAGACCACGGTGTGATAATGCAAGGCCGGTTTTCTGAGCTTGTTCATTTTATGCTCCAGAAGGACCGCTTATTTCAGGACAACAGGATTTTCACTAACTCTGTTTCAAAAGTGGTTTTACAAAAATAATTCTGCGTTGGACGCCTAAACTATCACAATCAGTGGTTTCAGGACTACAATGAACTGTCCTTCGGAATGGTGCGGGTGGGAGGGGGGCGAAATTGATTTTGAAAAAGATCACCAAAGTGATTCATTTTTTTAATCTTCGAACCGACCCTCAACGTGAGACGCTTTGACTCATACTGGGATACAGTTTTACACTTGACTGTCACCCGGTTTTCTCTGCAATCGAATACGGACGTGCGTTTATACTTTGAACGTTATTATTACTTCTCATCAGTTGAATTTGCATTTTGTTTGCATCAAATCTAATCGCCTGTCTGGCTGTCTGTCTATCTGTTCGCAAAGTCGTTCGCGAACCGACAGATGCTTCATTTCTCCGCCGCCTTTTCATACAATTCA